TGCCTGATCTTCCTTCACCCCATCTTGCATGTATTGTGATGAGAGCTTCATTGTGGTGTCATGTCCAACGGAAAATCAGCTGCACTGAAGAAAATTTTACCAGATCGACGTGCTTAAAAATTCACTCCAGAGCAGAGGGCCACTGTGAGGCCTAGAGCCAGGCAGTTATTTTTAGATGAACAGTTAATTCGCCAAAAATCCAGTTTTGGGGGGGGCACCAAAACAATTCATGAGCTCGGGCTGAATTTGGCAAATAGTTTCAGCTGCACTCACCCCCGCTTCCCCCGAAACCAACAGTTCGCAAATGTCGAAACAGCATGTGGAGAAACGTCGAAATGATCCATTTCAAATGGACAGAAGTGGCATTTTGACTGGCCATTCTAAATGTTTCGTTCTACCCAAACAAAGTCTTTGGGCTGGGAGCTTCTTTTCCTCAACAACAACAAAAAAAGAACTAATTCAGTTTCAGTTAGAAACTAAATGATGGTTGGGTTTTGGGAGGAGGAGGAAGGGGTTGGGGTTTGCATTCTGGGCGGAGGGGTTGATTTTTTTGATCAACTCTGATGAGGACTAAACAGCAGTTAAATCCCACTCAAGCCCTGGAAGCCAGGCTAGATGATCTAATAGTCTCTTCTGGTCTTAAAGACCTATGAATCTATTTCGAGGACTTAAGTGGCGCATAGCTTTTGTCTTGGCTCTCTGCACAAGGGTGTGTTTCACCATGGAAGAGAGAAAAGGGCCTGATTCTGCCTTCACACACACCAGTGTCAATCAGAAATCTCTCCACCAAAGTCAGTGCATAAAATAAAGGTCAGAGCAGAACCAAGCCCCCAAAGAGGAAGGTGCTGCCTTTTAGAAGAACAACGACTGGACAACATGACAGCTAAAAATTGGTATAGAGCTAGAGTTGTAACCCTTACCCGTGTGGGGGACAAAGTGGTGACTTCAGTGCGACAGCGTCTGCCAGGATGTGCTCACCCCTGTGACTAAGTGTAGCACAATATGCCCCATAACGTGTATTTTTCTTTTCAAGTATTGATTTAGAAATGTGAATCTTTCTTTGTTAGCAGAGAGCTGCATGATTTTGTGTTATTTACACTTAATTATCAATTGCGGTTTATGTAATCCTCAGTGGATTCAGCTCCCGTATATTGTAGGTCATGGAGCTGTCTGTTGAAGCAAGTACTGAATTATAGCCACAATTCTGGAAACAGGGAGATTAAATGTTATCTTGCTGCTCTTTAATACCGATAACCTTTATGTCTTTCCTCCATGATAGCGCTGATTATTTCCATTTGTCACAGTCCAATCGGTTTTTTAATGTATAATGATAGAGATGTAGAGAAGTTGCAATCTAATAATTCTTTGCACTTATATAGCAGTAATGCTCATTCTAATAATCAGACTTAGCATTTACTGTGCTTTTCATCTGAGGATCTCAAAGCAGTTTACAAAGAAGGGTGAGTGTCATTGTCCCAATTTTACCACTCTCTGGCTCACTAGGTCCTTGTAAAGCATCCATCACAGGAGGGTCTGAACACCTCCCAAAGGTTTATGGATTTTTTTCTTCCACCCACCTTCTTTAAAGGGAATGATTATTGTCCCTATTTGAGAGATGGGAAATTGAGACTGAGGCTGGGTCTACACTACAGCGGGGGTCTGACCTAAGATACGCAACTTCAGCTACGTGAATACCGTAGCTGAAGTTGCGTATTTTAGGTCGGCTTACCTGGCGGTGAGGACGCGGGAAAGTCGACCGCTGCCACGCTGCCGCCGACTCCGCTGCCGCCTCTTGCCGAGGTGGATTTCCGGAGTCGACAGCAGAGCGATCAGGGATCGATTTTACCGCGTCTTCACTAGACGCGATAAGTCGATCCCCGATAGACCGATTGCTACCCGCCGGATCGGCGGGTAGTGAAGACATGCCCTGAGTGAGGTGAAGTTAATAACATGTCACACAGATTCCAGCTCCCCTCACTCACAGTGCATATTTTCACCCTCCTGATTTCTGTGTACATCTGAATGTCTGGACCGGGAGCTCCGTTGGTCTGTGCCTTTTGCACCAGTGCAGTGGGGGTGTGAAACACCCGTAATTGGAATGGTAATGGTTGTCCCCCTCTTGGGATTGGTATAAATGACTGTGCAGTGCGCAGGACAATGGAGAATCTGCTCCTGTGTCTTTAACGGAGACACTAATACAAACAATAGGACTAGAGAAGCAATTCTTTCCCCAAATCTGTGGCTGTGCATCCAAATTAAACTTCAAATTGTCTGCAGATCTGGATTTCTTCCTTTAAATTCAGCTCAGCTCTAGAGAACACTTTTCATCCAAGGATCTCAAAGAACTTCACACTTTAATTACTCCTCATCACACCCTTCAGAGCTATAGTTCATATTATACCCTTTTTAAGTTAGGGGTAATGGAGACACAAGAGGTTAAAAGACTGAAGAAGCCAGTGACAGAGCCGGGAATGGAACCCAGGAGTCCTAACTTTCAGTCTCCTGCGGTAGGGCCAGATTGTGGTACCCTGGTGTTAAACAGTGTTTTACTCCATGAGTAGGTCCCTTATCTTCAGTGGGATGTTGGCTAGGGTAAGGTTCTAGTATTGCAGTGGAAGGAAGGGCCCCATTGTACCAGGCACATGAGAGAGAGTCCCTGCGGCAAATTGCATACAGTTTAATTAGACAAGACAGAGAGAGGTGAAGTGACTTGCCCCAAATCATCCATCAGGTCAGTGGCAGAGCTAAGATTAGAATCCAGGTCTCTTAAGCCCTAGACCAGGGGGCTAGCCTCTGAACAACATAAGTGAGAGCAGTCTCTTAACCAGCGGACAATGCCTCCTCTTCAGTGTTATCGGAATGTAACTAATCTGAACAACCATTTAAGTTCCCATCACACAGGTTAGATAAGTGGAGAGATCTCGTGTGCACACATATCTGAAACATCTGACATCCCTTATAGATTAGCCCCAAGCTTTTCATTTATTTTAGTGCCTTTGAATGGCGTGTCAGGATTTTGGGGTTGGCTCTCCCTCACCAGTTTAATTTTGAGCCTCTGGACTGTGATGCTAGATTGGCAGGTATGTACCGGAGGGTCGGGAAAGCTCTTGCAGCCCAATATAATGCTCCAAATTTGGTGTCTGAGCCTCTCCTTCTTGCTTTATTTATGTATCTTTTTGGGATGGCTCTCAGAGACGAGAGTCTTTCTATTCCTGTCATCTCCCCGATCAGCCACTTAGTGGAAAATTGCCCATAGAAGTGAACCTAAATTACAAGTGATAAAACTAGAGCCTGTTCTATCCGCAGATGACCCTTTCTGTTCTACACCGAGCTAACACTTATATTCTTTGTGACAAGAGCAATGAAGCCGTTGCAAGCATTTATGTGCAGCTAAGTCACCTTAAATTGAAAATCCTTGTTTTTGCTGGCTTTGGAGTGGTCCTTCATTAATTCATTCTACACTTCAGGTCTACACTTAAAAGTTAGCTTGACATAGTTGTGGTGCTCAGGGGTGAAAAAGTCATACCCACGAACAGAATAACCTAACCTCTGGTGTAGACGTGACTAGGTCAATGGAAGAATGTTTCCGTTGACCCAGATACCACCATTCGGGGAGGTGGATTAGCTATAGCAATCGAAAAACCCCTTCCTTTGCTATAGGAAGCGTTTACACTATGGCACTACACTAGCATGGATATGGTAGACATGGCCTATGCATTGCTCACTCAGAGCCAGTGCTCCAGGATGATACCAGACCAACTTGCCTCTTAGATTGGTTTATATAAGCAAGCCAGATCATGTTTGGGATTCTTGCACCAAGGATCCTTCTCCCTACAGGGGCCAGGCACAAACCCTGAGATAGCAGAGGCACCAGTGCCCCCAGCATACAAGCCATACAAAAGAAGAGGAGAGGAGGGAGAAGAGATGGCCTATAGTCCAACCTCCCTCCATGTTGGCCTACAAAGGTCACCCTCCTATGGCTGTTAATAAGAGAACTGGTCAGAAAATTTTTGTCATGAGTTCTCCATCAGAATATGCTGTTTTGACAAAACTGAATATTTTTCAAAATTCATTATTGATTTAGATTAAATTTTGTTTAGAAAAAAATGTTTTTTTTTGTTTTTGTTTTAAGTGAAGTGTCCTGATTTCACATTTTTGGAACAAAAAGTTTTCATTTTTCAATTTGAAACGACTTTTCTTTTCAAAGTTGATGTTATTCTGTAGTTTTTAAAAATTAGAAAATTAAAAAGATACAAAATTTAAACAAAATGTTTTGATTGACCCAAAACAAACAAAAAGAATGGGAATTTCATTTCCAGAAAAGATTCAAAATTTTGGCTTTTTGTCCCAATTTGGGATGAATTTTTCATTCCCCTCTCCCCCGAAATCTCTAAATTTTTCACCAGATGGGCCAGCTCTAGTTACTGAATGACAGGGTGATATTGCACCAGCATCAGGCTCTCCTTCTTAAGCCCCCAAACTAGAGTTAAAGTGGGACTGAAATTGGGCATAGGCCTCTGGACAGAGGGCAGTTTCACCCCCTGTGATGATTTCAGTAACACAGATCAGACTTCTCTTTGCTTCCTCTTTCCCTGCCCCAGGAATGAGATTTGTAGGATGTATAAGCAGGCAGTAACTTATTCCCCCACCCGCACCCCCAATGCTTACCAGACTCACTGCCCTTCTTCTCTGGACATGTGCAGCTGGTGCATCCCTGAAACGGTGTCATTGTCGCACAATAAATGCAAATCCAAGGCTTCCGCTTACCAGAGGACACCCTAAGAGTCAGCTCTGCCCATGCAACGACTTGGGGAGATGGACTAGTAGGAATCATGGGGGAGAGGCCATGCGGGGCCCCAATGGCAACATGTGATTAAAGCAGAGTTCAAGACATCCGGGAAGGAGCCAGTTGATGGCACCTTTAAATCGCATGGCAGGGAAATGTGGCTATGGCTGGTGAAAGGGCTTATATTGTATGGCTGATCAATCCTTCTCTTCAGTAATTTAGGGGTGCCTCCGGGACGTGGCAATTGTCCCTTGACTGTCCCTTTGCCCTTTGACCTCATTTATACTGATTACCATGGCCTCCAGCAAATGAAGCAACACATGGGGCTCTCCTTTAAGAAATACAGGTAAGAAAAAAATCACTCTCTTCCTCTCTGCTTCTACTTTTAAACAGCAAATGACGCTAGCGCTAATGAAAACGAGGGGCAAATAGTTCTGCCTAGAGGGAGGCATGTTGTGGCCTGGGATTTTGCAAATTTCATCACACAGCTTTGCCAATGCACCTCACCCTGCATTGCTCCAGCCCTCCCCCTCCTGGGCTGCTCCAGTCCAGTCCAGTCCAACTCTGCCTGTGCACCTCAGTCCTGATTTGCAGCACCCCGTGCTATTCCAGTCCTAAACTCTTCCGGTCCTTCAACCTAATGAGGCTGTTCTGTGCCTAAATTGGTGGTAGTTTTACACAGGGCGTAGACACAGACTAGGATGAGACACCTTTTAAGATAAATCTGACCCCATCCAGGATTTGAACCCAAATTCCCAGAGGGGAAATGTTTGCAGCACTGAGCAATTGTCTCTCTCTCTCTCTCTCTTTGCTCTGTCTTTTCTTTATCGTGGCAAGACCTGCTGAAACTCCCCTGACCTTGCAGCCTTTCCCTTCCCCTACCAATGAGCCCCCCATAAATCTCCAGCACATAAGGAGGAGGAATTCAGCCTTTTGTTTCCAGCCTTGTTTATGTGCATGACAGCTGGTAAATTGCCCAGAGACCTTCCCAGCGGCTGTCAGAACATGCCCGGGAAGGAGGGAGCACAACCTCACCTGCCACTGTCTTGAGATCAGAACCCATTCTAAGGCTCTCCAATGAGGAAGCAAACACCCCTGGGGAGAAGTGTGTGTGTAAATAGTATGTTTGCACGCTGTAGGTGGGATCTGCCACCATGATAACAGGACAGAGAGATCTCTTTGTATTTGCAAGAAAGACAACCTCCTCCCCGCCCCCAGCCCATTTCCTCCCTTCCTCTTTACCATTGAGAGAGACAAATGTCACCATCCCCGTGGTACATCAGCAGCCTGCAAAGTATGTGATTTAATTTAGCACTGATAGTTCTGCTATTTATTACATTTTCGCCCATCCCTTCCACTATCCTACACAATTTTATTAGAGGGGAAGATGACAGGCGGTGTTATTGTTTTTATTACGAATGCATTTGCTTTGTGCGTGCCACTTGCTTTTTCTCCTCTCTCTTTCCAGGTTCTCTTTTCTTCCTCCCTCTTGCCATGGTAATGCCTACCTCCGCATTCCCGGGATATTTGGAAAAGCATTAAAATGTCTGCTGGAGATAGATAATGCTTTCCCAAACGTTGGGTGGGTGAAAAGCCTGCGCAAGAGGGAGCAGTGAATCTCTTCCTTTCCAGAGGTGACACTTAGGATACTTTTTCCCCCTTTCTGCTGAATATTGGACTAGTGCTTTGCTTCCAGTTTCCCCTTTTGATCTAAGGCTGATGCCCAATGCCAGTTCTCTGTGGGCCTAATGGTAACGTTATGCATTGCTAATGGCAAGACCTGGGTTTGAATCCCAGATTTGCTGAGATAAAGGAACTGCCAGGCCAGAACAGACTGACCATCCATCTAATCTGTCATCCTTTTCAGACAATAGCTAATGCCAGAGGTTCCTAAGCATGTTGTGTTTAGAGCAATAGTTACTGAGTTATACGCCTAGGAAATACAATAGCGGACCAGACCCATAGTCATCTAGTCTGGTATCGTCTCTGACAGTGGCCAACACCAGATACTGCAAGAGGTGTAAAACCCTCTGGATAGACAGTTGTTCAATACCATCCCTATGGTGACATTTCTTCCTGCCGCAGGCTATTAATGGTTAGTTTATGTCCTGAAGCACGTTTCTACCCGTTATACATTTTTGTCCCAAGTGCAAATATTCTTATTATTCATAAAAATACTGAATCTTCTTTAAAAATGCTCTTTGCCGCATTACTATCTGGTGGCAATGAGTTCCACAGGCTATTTCTGGAGTAAATTGGAAGAACAAACAGCTGCTTTAGTGAAGAAGCGTAATCCAGCTCCTTGAGTAAGAGGGATAATGCCCATTTGTTGTTTTTCATAGCACTCTGGCCACATAGCAATATACTCAGACAACAAAGGCACTCATTCAAGATGGAAACATTACATCATCAGGCCAAATTCTCATTGGCCTATCAGTGATCCTGCCATCCAGATACTTCCAAGTAGCCACTGGCTACTGTGACTGCCCACGACTGCCCAAAAGGTGACTGAGCAATAGAGAGAATAAGCTGCATGCTCTGAAGGGGTGCAGTTCCAGGGGTGCTTCTGCTGCCTGCCAGGTGAGGTGCAATGCCTCCTGGTGCTTGCACTGAGACAGTGCAGGTCAGCACTGTCCCTAGCTCAGGGGTATTGCTAAACGCCACAACAGAGCGTAGGGGAGTATTGCCAATCAAAGTCTATTGGCAGAAGTGTATGGGACCAGGACTGGAGTAGCAGAGGTTGCTGATCATCATTGGCCTGTATTGGTGAAGCTGCTTAGGCAAAACTTATTCGGTGCCCATCTGCATCACGCCCAGCTGTAGCCATTGTAATTAATCCATTGGCACTTGCACTAACAGTCCCTAAATCTGTCTCAGCTGTCAGCATTGGCGGCGTTGTCATCTTTTCCCAGGCCTCCAGCTTTTAGGAGGTAAGGCAGTACACTTCACCAAAGCCTTTGGCCCTTGGTATTCAAACACACAGCACTACTCCAGGGCAGCACTGGCTTGGCCTCTCTATTGTCCCATGGGACATGCATTTGAGCACATAATGCTACTTGCTGCAAGGATGCTCAAACCAGTAATTGGGCACTGATGTGAGGGACTGTCCCTGCACAGGCTGGATTCTAGGACTCTCAGATCTCTCTCAAAGCAGTCATTCCACTCAATGAGCATCTGCTCAAGCCCTCAGCAGCACTAACAGCCTCTCCTTGGCCTGCTGATGCTAGAGGGCGAACCTGTAGCTTGTGGCTTGATGCTCTTTGTTTGCAGACTGGGAGCAGAATATAACCATTGCCCTTTGCTCTCTTGCCTGGGCAGGTGTCGCGTTCGGGTCATTGATACCTTTGGGACAGAGCCAGCCTACAACCTTGAGGAGTATGCCACTCTGCATGGCTACCGGACAAACTGGGGGTACTGGAACCTGAATCCCAAGCAGTTCATGACTATGTTTCGTAAGTGATCCCTTGTTTGGTAATTGTTTCTAATGGGGTTTTATTTGTTTTGTATTTGCAGATTGGGTGATAGAGCTGAGCAAATAATTGATCTGGTGGTTCAGAGGTCAAACTGGAAAAAAATGTGCTTAGTTTCAAATCGAAGCTGATTGTTTTTCACCAAAATGAAAAACAAAGAAAAAAATGTGTGCCGGACAAATTAAATACTTTGAATTTAGATTCCAAACATTTTCAAAAAGAAACATTTTGACATTTTCAAAATCTTTTGTTTTCAGGGTTTTTTTGGCCAAAAGTATTTGACAGCTTCAACCCGAATTTGCATAGAGTTCCGGTGCCGCCAAAAATGTATTTTTTGGCAAATTTACTATTTGCAATTTTTTATTTTTTGCCTGGCTCTATTTCTTGATCACTAGATTATCATTGCAGGCCAAGGCCAATGCACAAAAAGCACAAATAGGTTCTCGGTTGTATCTGAATTACTCTGCCAGTCCACCGCCCATGTCACCGCTGCCCCCGCCCCCTCCCAAAGCAACGGCAGTGGAAGGAAAACAGACTTTGATTTGCTCAGAGCCCACAAACTCAGGTTCACTCTTGTTCCCTCTATCCGTTGCCACAAGCTGCAGAGAGCATTTTCACACACACCGTCGAAGGGATGGGCCTTCCATTTCCGTTTGTAAGCAGCTTCTCAGGAGCAGTCAATACCTGGGTTTGCATCTCAGTCCCCTGGCCTATGGCTTCCCCCTACCCCCTCTGCCAGCAGCGGCTGGGAAATGTTGTGCAAGCAGGGGAGGTGAGCATCTCACATGGCCCACCAGTGTGCCCTCTGGCCAGCTGAGCTGTGCATTGACAAGATCTCAAGGGAGTCCCATCTAGTCCTTCTCATCTAGAGCTATGGAGGCGGCAATATCAAGTGCCCTTGAGGCTGGTAGGATTAAAGTAGGGGGAGATGTTTGAGAGACCTCTGAGCCCTACGGGAGATATACAGGACTCCTAACGTGGGATGTAGCCAGAAAATAACACCCCTTCCCACTATACCAAGCCTGGGACACAAAAGAGATACTAGGCTTATTACCATGTTGCACCACAGCCCAAAGCTGTTTTCCAAAGCATGCTGGGTGGGATGCATGCTGCTTCCATCTGACCCTAACCTTGACAATGTGCTCCAAGGAAACTCCTGCTTAATGGGCTCTGTTACTTTAATGAGCTTTAATACTTTACTGTCCCACTCCCACTGTTTTGCTAATTATGTTCTCAATCTGCCCCAGCAATTCCCCTCCTCCCGTAGGTTTTTGGGAGTGAAGGACTTTGCTCGGCCAAGGCCATTTTTCAGTCCCGGGGATTCTGCAGGGAGCTGTCTGAGCAAACCAATCATCCGTCCTGCAGCAGCGGGGGGATTTTATGGCTAGAAAACAAAAGCCAAGGGAGAGAATGCTGGAAAGAAGGAATTTGCTATTATGGCAAACAGAGCAGCAGGCTGAAGGAGCTGCTGTACCTGGGCCATGTTTGGGTGACCCATGCTAATGTGAAAGGGGAGTTGTATCAGCCCAGCGGCAGGGACATGGACTCCTTTCTCTGCCCAATAATTAGTACCTATCTCTTATCCAGTGCTTTTCATCTGTAGATCTTAAAGCGTTTTGCAAAGGAGGGCAGTAGCATTATCCCCCATTTAATAGATGGGGAAACTGAGGCATAAGAAAGGACTTGCCCAAGGTTACCCAGCAGCAGAACTGGGAATGGAACCAACATCTCCTGAATTACATTCTAGGGCTCAGTCCCCTAGGCTGCTCACCTAGAGGCTTCCATTGAGATCAGGGACCTGTTGTGCTAGGCACTATACACACACTTACCCCAAAGGCCTCACACTTTAATAGACAAAGGGAGGATTATTATCCCCATTTTACAGAGGGGAACTGAGGCACAGAGAGATGAAGCAACTCACCCCAGGAACCAGCTGCAGAGCCAGGACTGGAACCCAAATCTCTAGAGCCCTAGGCTAGTGCTTTAACCACAAGAACATCCTGCCCCCAGGCTGGGTGGGCTTCATGCCTCATTCTCAAAGGGAGGTGCAAACAGGCTCCATGCCCACCCCCATACTGAGCCCACCGTGCCGGCAAGGCCCATCATACCACAGGTGGGATTTACCAGGGTTATGCCAGGGGAAGGGAAGATTTGAAATCAGCTGCCCAATTGTGCCCCTTGCATGCAGGAGAGAGCTGCCGTGATCCAAGTAGGGGAAGAGAGTGAAAAAAAAGCCTTTGGAGATAAGGAGCAAAGAGAGAGTTGGGTGGGGAGGTGAAACGCAAGGGGTATTTTTTTCAAATACAGAATTTATTTTCAGAGGGAGAGTCGCCTCTCTGGAGAAGGCTAGGCAGGATTTTAGAGAAAGGGCTGGGGCTGGTGCTTCAGATTTATCCAATAATCTGCCAAGTGGAAAGGAGCCTTACTTGTCGGCAGTAAACCTGGTGACCGATCACACGCTTTGTGACTCAAATATTTTTTCCCCCTGGCTGGATATAATCTATTTGGCAGCCTAAAAAGCAACTTATATTTGAAAGAGACCTGCAGGCAGTTCACAGCTCATATATTTTAATAGCTCCTGTTTGCTTTTTTCCCTCTTTCTTCTTTTTTTTAATGCAAGGAACCTTTCAGAGTCTCTTTCCTTGACTCAAAATGCCTCAGTGCCACGGAATAATCCAAGCCTCATGGCCTGCACCTTTGACTGGTTCCAAACACCTCCACTCTTCCTTGCACTAATTAGCCCTACCCCACATTCCCCTGCGAAGCACATCTGAAGGCAGCTCCTCCACCCCCACTCCCTGTCTCTCTGCAGAGAGGGAAGCACTGAGGGCTGAGCGCACAGTTAAGGTGCTCAGCGGGGATTGGGACACAGATGCAGACAGACTGTTACCAGTTAGGACGGTGGAGGAGGCAAAGGGGAATCCTGGATCCAGCCTAGGATTTACCTGTGACCGTCACGGAGAAACAGGGTGAATTTCAGCCCAGTGATCCCCAGTGCCTCCATGACACCAGGGCTCAGCTCAATAGTTAAACTCCCAGCTACGTGGAATAGGGCCCGGAAATGTTTTCATCTCATCGGTGGACTCTGGTAACTGTCCCATTCTTCAGTATAAATGACCTCAATGGGGAAAGGCTGCATGTTGCTGAGGCTTTGGGAGGACAGATAGTGGCCTCTGGAAGACCCCCTCAGTGCGCTAGCAAGAGCCAAACCCGTGTTTCTTTTCCCCTTGGTTTCTGTAGCTCACACTCCCGACAACTCCTTCATGGGCTTTGTGTCCGAGGAGCTCAACGAGACCGAGCGGCAGTTCATTAAGTCCAACAAAGCAAGCAACATGGCAGTGGTGTACGGGAAGGAAGCCAGCATCTGGAAGGTGGGTGCCTGCAGCGACACGGTCAGTCCACAGTAACGAACAAATAGCCACAAATAGCCAAAGTTTTGCCATTGGCTTCAAAGGGACCAGAATCTGGGCTAATGTGCATAGACTCCTAGAAATCAGTGCTTAGAAAAGACCTAATTGGCCATTTAATTCATCCCTCCCACTGGCCCATGTAGGATTATTCCCTGGATTATATCCCCTAGTGACTTGTCCAGTCCACTTTCAAGAGTCCCAGCAATGGGGCTTCCACCACTTCCCTTGGGAGAGCAGCCTATTGTCTGAAACTTCCTATGTGGGCAGTTTATCCCCTGACCACCTGCACTGCAGGGTTTCTTGCACCTTCTTTTGAGACAGCTGGCACTGACCCCTGTCAGCAGCAGGATACTGGCCTAGATGGACCCATTGGTATGATCCAGTATAACACTATGGAAGTGAAGCCAAATTGAAACAGAATGGGTATCCCAGGCATCTTATGAAGTGGCTCAGCTTCCAACCATGGGACCAGTTAAGGTCTGGACACTCGCTGCTTAGAACTGAACTGACACCATCTAGCGGTGGCATATCTTTCTTGTTAGCATTTGTATTTTAATCACATGCAGAGGCCCCAAGCAGGACACAGTGCACAGAGTCAGAGCCAGTCCCTGCCCCAAAGAGCTTACAATCTAAATGAACAAGGCAGTCGGAGGAGAAAAGAGAGACGGGAAGTTACTTGTGCAAGGTCACGTAGCAGGTCGGGCTCAGCCAGGAATAGAATTCAGGTTTCCTAAGTACTAGTCCAGGGCACTAGCCACTGAACCACACTGCTTCTCGTCATTAGCTGGCAGCAACTTTTAGTCACCACAGACATGGGTCAGATATGAGCCTGTAGGTGCAAAACTCTTTTCCACTACTCCGTCCTTGAGCCAGACAACTGACTTCCTGTTCCAACACCACTTCATCACTAGGGAGACGAATAGCACCGCTGTAACCCCGCTCAGCAGGCACACCCTCTTAAAAGAAAACAGCCCTACCGTCTCTTGTGTGGCCAGCAGTGGCGTTGGTTATTGGGGGTGGCCCGAGCTCCACACTCTTTTATCTGGAGCATGCTCAATGCTTTTGCTTCCATTATCCATAAGCAGGAGCTAATTATCACCCTCTCTTGATTTTTTTCTTCCATGCACCTCCATGGGATGTTCCAGTTGCAGGTATTGTATTACTCTAATCTATTTCTTTATTTAATGGTGCGTTTCAGACTAAATATAAATTATCAATAGAAAATGTATATCTGCAGTTGAGCTCGCATTGTCTGTAGGTTAAACCTGCACTGCTACCAGTGGGTGTTTATAGCCTGATACGGTGCTGGGTTCTCTTCTTCCCCATGCCCACCCTTTCTATTACCAGCGCCACTGAATCTGTCCTCGCAGCCTGTTCTGGATGCTGCAGTCTGCGTTCCGTAGAGCAGCATATCTCTGCAACAAACCCTCCTTTCAAAACACACAATTGCAGCGCAGGTATATAAATCCCTGCAACAATTACATGTATTGAGAAGTTACCCAGCACACGCTTTCTGTCTCGCCGCCCAATCTTGCAGTAAGGAGACCTTTTGCTGATGGCTAGGCTTCCCCGCCCCCCGTAAATGACAGCTCTTTGACTTAATCTTTTTTTGGCACAGAAATATTCGTGGCTACTAACACCCTCCCTCACAGTGAGTGATTCCAACACTCGCCTCGTTCTGTGGGCCACATTGATTTCTCATTGTCTCACTCCTCTTTGCTTCTTACGGATTTTTAAATAAATATTATTAAAACTCTTTCACTGTCGGGAACCAGCTGCAGTAAAAGGTCCATGGAATAGCACCCTGTCAATTTGCTTCCCAGGAGAAAGGGGCCTGGATCCAAAGTCTGGATTCCAGAACCCCCAGTCTGTGAGGCGGATCAGGACCAGTTGCTTGGTCCACCACCCCTAGTTACCAGTCAGGATTGGGCAGCTGTGATATCTCGTGGTAGAAATACCTGCCTCCTGATTCTTCAGTCCTGCATCTTGTGTAGTTCCTCACACCTGTGCAAAATGGGTGTAAAGGACTCCTGTTGTGGTTTGGTTAGCTTTTACACCCACCACTCTAAGTGACAACATATTGTGCGCCTGTGTGGTGAGTTTAAGTCAATGAGCCTGATTCTCATTTACACTAAGGCTCTGGCAGCATAAAGGGGTTTAATATGGGTGTGCAGGTAAAGGGTGCCCATTTTACGTGTCCAGAGCATGAAGAGAGGCCTTAGTGTGAATGAAAATCAGGCCCCGTGGTTTTCCTCTGATTAGCAAGTACTCAGGTAACCCAGTGGGTATGTGTGACAAGCCCCCCTCTGTGCTGATCGACAGAAGATAGGCGTTGTTACAAGCTGCTAACTCTGGCACTTTAGCAGCAGTTCCAGAGGCTCCCGATTCAATTCCCAGTGTGTTGGCCAAGATGATGGCTGCCTGTCATACTCAGCAGCTTGGGTAAGGGCTGTACAATCTAGCACTGGGTAGGTAGGGTAGAGTCCGTGTGGTCCAAGGAGCTGGAGATGGGTGGGACTCAGGAGACCTGGATTTGACATTAAACATTCTGTGTGACATTGGACAAGCCAGGCCCCCTTTCTGTGCCTCGTTCCCCCATCTATAACAGGAGACTAATGATGCCCTGCCTTGTAAAGTGCCCCTGAGGTCTAGAGTTGAACAATGCAATATAAACGCAAAGTATTACTCTTGAGTTGTAGCATTTATGTCCTGCAGACAAGCCAAGTACTGATAAGCCCAGGATCAAATACAATCTCTCAAACAGAATCTTTTTGAAGTTCAGAAACATTTGATTAACTTCCCACCCTTCCTCATTGTTGTTCCTCTGAACTTCCAGCTTCCATCTAGCACCAGGAGCAGAAGCACTAATAAGGAAGAAAGCCCATATACATCCGATTTCCAGCTCAGTTTTGTCAGCCAAAGCAGTTCAGATAATTTGGATTAAGCTGCAGATAAGCATCTGCATGCTTATTTCATCCAAACCTGAACTCAAAACACTTTGAGACTCAGGGCAAGTCTACACTGGCGCAGCTGTGCTGATGCAGTTGCGCTGCTGTAGAACATCTGCTGAAGACGCTGTGTGCCGCCGGGAGAGCGCTCTCCTGTCGGCACGATTACTCCACCTCCGCGAGAGGCGGAAGCTATGTTGGCAGGAGAGTGTCTCCCGCCAATTTAGCACCAGTGTAGGCAGCGCTTGGGTCGCTATAACTTGCATCACTCGGGGGTGTGTGTGTGTGTCTTTTTCACACCCCTGAGCGAGGTAAGTTAGATCGACGTAAGTGGTAGTGTAGACCTGCCCTCCGCCACCACTGGATTTCAATGTGAAAATTGCTTTTCTCAGATGCCTCTGATTCCCAGATTCTGGAATAACCCCACTCCCCATGTGTCATTGTTTTTAAACTCTGCTCTGACGTTTAATGTAAAAGTACACGGGAGAGGGGCTGTACAATGCAGTAAATCTCAAGGGGTATTTTGCAGAAGCTTTAAAACATACACTAAGAGATTTTTTAATAACCAAAAATCTTCAGAAGACTGTTGTGCTAGCCAGACATGGAGTATGCTCTCTCCTGTCAAGTAGGACCAAATCCTGTTTACTTTAGTCGTAGGAGTATTGCAAACAGTGAGACCACTAGTGGCCCCAGTTCAGCAGTCCCTCCCTTCTCAACAAAGCACTTATACTCATGCCTAATGCTAAGAACATGCTCAAGTGCTTTGCTGAATAGCGAGGGGCTTACGTACATGTTTGAATGCTTTGCTGAAGTGGGCTCACGTAAGGCAAGCAGGAATTGGCTCATAGTTGCTAAGTACTGGCTGTCCCTGGATTCTCCAGGGCATCCTGGCTTCTGTCTGTTCAACTATAAGCTCTGTGGGGCAGGGATGGCTGTTGGGCTAGATCCTCAGCTGGTGTCAATGTGCATCTGGCCCATTATTTTATGTATTATAGAGAGCTGAGTGCATTGTTGGTGCTCAGTAAACAATAACGCAATACTGCATGGAAGAGGCTTTCTGGTGCAGTGGTATAGTGCATTAGTTCTTTACGTCAGGCCATGTGCGTTCCAGGTCTGATTAGGTCCAGACAAGTTTGATGATCTCAGCAGAGCCCCTTGCATGATTAGCACTCGGCTCCTAGAGATCTCCGCCAGGACAGCGTGGGGTGTTAGAGTCCAGGAACTGTTGGAGGGAGAACGTGCCCAACGGCTGCCTATACTACAGCTGGCTTTTGCGAATGCTATCAGACTCTCCCTTCCATGAACACTACAGCTACTAATCCTTAGATAACTTTTACCCCCCTTTTACAGATGGGGAAACTGAGTCACCCTGAGAGGAACTGACTTGCCCAAGGTCACCAGAGCCGGGCGTAGAAACTTGCTCCTCATTCAGTCAGCTGTCAGCTGAATTGTGCTGTCCCGTTTGGCTGCGTACAAAAAGACAGTGTCCTTTATAAAACGTAGCACTCACACATACAACTCCTTCCTTGTTAGGCTTCTGTTGTTTATCACACCTCAGCCCCAGCTATTCCGATGTTGGTAAATACGCCTTTTTGTGTTGCTCATTGTTCACATTGCAAGGCGTGAGGATTCTAAATACCTGACGTTCAATTGATCTGTACCTGGTGAGAATGATAAACTTGCCAGCAGAGAGCAGGCAGCGTATTGAGCTGGGACTGCTGGTTAGCCCTTACAGCATGGGAAGCGTTCTGCAATGGGTGGATAGAGAGACAACGCTTTCCCATCTGTCTGCAACACTGAGACCTGCTCCCAAGGAGAGAGGCAGAAGTCCACAGAATGCGGAGGGTTCCCTTTGGGCCTCACTGGCTTACCTGGGGAATAACATGCCCTGACTTCATATCAGAGAGTTTTGCCTCAATATAGCTTTGGAATTGGAACTAAAGGACAATGGCTGCTGAGCTGCATGCATCCTTCATGCCACACACAGGGCTAGTGGGGCCAGAACAGAGGATGAAGAATGGGGGAATCTACTGAGAATGAAAGATGGGGGAAGTATCTAGGATGTAGAGTTGGAGAGAAGAAGTCCATAGCCAGAGAGAGAGAGAGAGACGCACAGAGAAAGGGAAGCTGCGTCAGGGACCAGTAGGGACAGAAGGAGGAGAGACTGAATCCCACACATCCTCTGTCCTTCCCTGAAATATCAGAGGGTCGGAGCTTTGGAGGGGAGGCAACTGTCAGCTCTCAGACAGGGAGTGAGTGGGGTGGTGAGCTGGGCTCTGTGTTACTTAACAGCACCACTTGCTGGCCATTCTGCAGCAGCATTGTGGAGGAGAATGGGGGTGGTGGGAAACTTGCGTCAAGGATGGCAGGGAGGGCACAATAAGGGGAGAAAGGATTTGGCCTCTCTCCAGCTGCCGGTTCAGTATGGAGTCCAAACCCCACCAAGGAGGGTCCCACCCGGGTGCCAGCTGGCAACAGTGGGGGCCTGGGAGGGAGAGAGATAGGGCAAAGTGTGGTGTAAAGCAGAGACCCCCCCAAAGAGAAGAGACATGGATGAGTGCCAGATGGATAGAAAGGGAGATGGGCCTGAGCCCAAGTCCCTAGCCAACCCCAATCCAAACTCAGAGGCCCACACTCCTCTCTCAGTAAAAGTCCATGTCTGTGGGAACACACAGGATTAGACTGTGGCTGGGGGAAGAACACATTCCCATGCCCACGTAGCTGCCTTTTCAGCTGAATACAACTGACAGCCATGAGGCTGCTTCTGACAGTGGGGGTGAATAAATGGCCTCTTTTCCATTAAATCCCCGAGCCCCCAGGTCAGGTGGGTTAATCAGCAGAGTGTGTCTGGGGTTCTGTGGATTGGAACAGCCGCATTGTGCGGCCTGCTTTCCACATTCGTCAGCCCTTCACAGCCGCCTTCGCCTCTGCCCTCCAATCAGGTAGATTGTGCCTTATTTTCTTCTTTTAATGCCGCTGAGAAGTTGTTTTTCCTCCCAAGGCTTGTAAAGAGCCTGGAGAGGGAAATAAGTAGGGGAGAGAGAGATGCCGAGTGTAGTGCTGATCACAGCTAAATTCAAAGGGAAAGCTGTTTCTCTTTTGTTGTTGCTAGCAGGGAAGATAATCTCAGTGAAATCCATGCTTGGAATTCTTGTATGGTGGTGTATTGATCTGCAGGGCTATTAGTTTGATAAAGCGATAATGAAGTCCTTAACAGCTATATGCAATCCTTAAATGGTAACATCAAATGAGCTCTAGGATTAATCAGCCTCATACCATCCCCCCACTCTTCTAAAAAATAAAACATGCTGAAGTTTTGCATTTTTGCCATGAATGTATGTAGATGGAAAACGAACGCGATTCTGCAGCTGAGTGGCTGGTCGCTTGGGTCATAGGGTGCAGCAGTAACAGAAAGTGCCTGTCTGCTTTGTCCTGCTGAAATAACTTCAGCGAAGGAGAAAGAACTAGTTGAGCTTTCTGGTCAATGACACATTTCACATGGATAACACCTTTGTTTCTACATGACTCTCCATCCAATCTATCTGTTTCTGTTAGCCATTCTACAGGGGAGGAGAAGGAGAGGGTCCTGGGAAGAAAGATGAATAGTTTGTATACAGCTGGGACTATACTTTTATTTTATTTTTTTAAACACGGTTAACCTGTGGAACTCACTGATGTGGTAGTTTATTAAGGCAATTATCTTAGGATTTTTTTCAGAGGATTAGGTGTTTATATGAATAATAGCACTTGCATTTGCACAAGGGGGATACAAATTTTAAGGGATCTCAGCCTCCATGCTTCAGTGTATAAACTGATCGTTGGATGAGGTCAGGAACATACACTCTCCCCACCACTTGCCACTGATGCAGTATTGTAACCTGAGGTTGCATTATAGAGGGTTTGTGACTTCCACTGGTTAATGTCAGGGCCAGGGTATTGGCCTGGACAGACCATTGGTCTGTTCTAGTATGACATCTCTTAGGCAGACTCTCTTTGTGGGGCTGACTATATCCAAAGCCCAGGTATGTTGCATCTGATTCAGGGAACTGATTTTGCCCTTACTCGTACCCATGTCAAAGAGGAGCAACTCAGTGGGATTAAACGAGAGTGAAATTGATTTACAGTCCAGGAGTCCTAAAAGTCTGCCTGCCCTGTAGAGGGATCTCCTGCCCTGCAGATTGAGTTCCACTGAATAACAGTAAAAACAGTGAGGAGTCCTTGTGGCACCTTAGAGACTAACACATTTATTTGGGCATAAGCTTTCGTGGGCTAGAACCCACTTCGTCAGATGCATGGAGTGCATTATAGCACATGTACTGTTTTTTTCACTCCATGCATCTGATGAAGTGGGTTTTAGCCCACGAAAGCTTATGCCCAAATACATTTGTTAGTGTCTAAGGTGCCACAAGGACTCCTCGTTGTTTTTGCTGATACAGACTAACACGGCTACCCCTCTGAACACTGAATAACGAGTTCCTGTACATGAAGACTCCCTCGCTGCTAGAGAGGAGGTCGTTTAGTGTATGTCTACACTGCAGTGTAAATCCAGGGTAAGTGGAATTCAAGTCAGCAGACCCTGGGTTAGACGTTAGAGAACCCAGGGCTTGAGCGTCGACACTGAGTGTCAATGCTAGGTTAAGAATCTTCCAACCTGGGCCCAAGCTCGGGGCTCCAGCATCCACACTGCAGTACGCTGACCTGAGTCCAGCCAACCATATTCCAGACTTCCTAACACCCTCCCAAAATGTTGCCGCTCTAGCCCTTTGTTCATGGTCAGTGCAGGAAAACTTGACTGTCCACCAAACTTGATTGTCCGGAGAACAAAGAAAGTCAGCCCATGGGATTGTGGGATATTTTTGGCAGACTCCCAGAGCACAAATGCAGCAGGGCCGCGTTTGAACTGCAAAGCAATAGGGCTGGAACCCTGGGTTCCAGCTTGACTCCGGCTCGGACCCTCCAGTCCTGTGGATCCTGGGACCTTGGGGCAGCGTGATTTGTGTGAAGACGAAAAGAGAGTTAGGCTTGAGCCTGAGTTTGAACCTTGGGCCTATACTGCAGTGGAGACGTACCCTTAAAGGCACTAGGATGGTGAGATCAGAATAAGGAAATACCCCTTTATTTTGGCATTTGGGAATCAAATACATCTCTTTTGGGGCTCACATGCAGCTGATTTTCTTCGCTGTCCTCCCCCAGGGCAAAGAAAAGTTCCTGGCCATCCTTAACAAGTACATGGAGATCCACGGCACTGTTTATTATGAAACCCAGCGTCCTCCGGAGGTCCCAGCCTTTGTCAAGAACCATGGCCTTCTGCCACAGCACGAGTTCCAGCAGCTTCTGAGAAAAGCCAAGGTACTTAAAATAGGGGTGTGGCCCTTTCACGTGGATTTCTGACAAAGTCCAACGTTACTCCTCCATAAAATAACCAGCTGCTGGGCAGGCGGACCAGAGTTGCCTTGAGAAATGTAATTCATTAGCTGAAGCTCTTTTAGCTGGAGGAGGCTGAGGCTAGTGCTACTGAAGCCCTTGCTTGCAGGCCACATCAACTGCAGTAATTATGCAGGAGCTGAGCTGAGCAAATCGCAACAGCGAATTTATCTGATTAATTTCCCCTTTTTACTAATTGTCCATGGTCAGTTCACAACATTCTCAAGCGTATTTGTTATTCAAAATCATTCACTAATTTCTTCAGCAAATAACTCTTAGCCTGCAGGTTATTCAAACTCGGAATATTACAACCGGATACACAACTTTTACTGTGACATATGTAACTAACTCATGTGATTTACATAGCTAGAACTCAGGGAAACGACTTGAGAAACCAGCTTACACAGCCCCAATTTCGAACGGTAAAATTGATTGTTGGATTGGTAGTTTGCCTTCTGTTGATTAATTACATCCAATCAGAGAAGAGAAACCATACCACCTGACTATCCAAAGATGGTGCAAATTTTGGATTTTAAATTTGACAATTGAATATACTATTTGGAACTGTCTCTTGGGAAATATTCATACTTTGGGGTTCAAATTTGTTTTTTGCAAGCAGTTGCGCTACTAGAGCTTGTGAGATTGAGCATTTGTGGAAAGTAAATGTGAATTACATCACATCCATTGTCACACCAAAGTTTGCTGCTGGGTTCCACTGAATGTTCACAGAACACGTTGGTCACTATTTGCTTAGCTCTGTTCAGGAGCCTGGGGTCTGTGGATTGATTGATTAGCAGCATAACTAGGTCCTGAAATGCTCTGTACTGATATCGCAACCTGAGCCCAGCACCATAGCACTTGCTAGAGTCAGGCAAAGTGCATACTTCCCAGACCACCCCCAGCACTGCCAACCCACTGGCATGCAACCCCCCTATTATATTCCAGCCCTGGGCTTTTCCTGAGTAAGGACTGCCAACAATGCCCACTGGCACACTAAATACCCAAACTCACTTCATCCTGTTACCAGGAAATAAAACCAGGTCTATAGACATGAGAAGCTCGGGCATGTAGCTGCTGTTCCACCTTGGTCTGCTACTGTTTTAGGCATGATTCTGATTAGATATCTAGCAAGCCAGCAGCTTTCAACGTGGAAACAGTAGGACGAATACAAGCATGATATAAGGAGGTGCAACTTCCATTGATGTTAATGACACGGTCTCTGTTATAAACTAAGGGGTGAAAAAAAAATAATGGAGATATCCCATCTCCTAGAACTGGAAGGGACCTTGAAAGGTCATCAAGTCCAGCCCCCTGCCTTCACTAGCAGGACCAAGTACTGATTTTGCCCCAGATCCCCAAGTGGCCCCCTCAAGGATTGAACTCACAACCCTGGGTTTAGCAGGCCAATGCTCAAACCACTGAGCTATCCCTCCCAGGTGTACTGTGTACAATTTAGCTTTAATAAAGACATCATTTTGGGGAGAACTTTATAACACATTTAAGCTATTGTGAATTGAACTACAAAGAGCTTCACCTAGAGTTCAGTTAGATCAGCCTGCAGGTCTGCAGAGCTGAGCACCAGCGAGACAGTTCAGATTAGTGAACTGGAGAGTCAGAGCGGCTAATGCATGAGATTGCAATGGGTCTGAGCGATGGTGTTCTTCACTCAAGCTCATCAGGGTTCGTGGTTTTGCCTCCTGCAGCTTTTCATCGGATTTGGATTCCCCTATGAAGGTCCCGCCCCTTTGGAAGCAATAGCCAATGGGTGTGTTTTCCTGCAGTCTCGTTTCAATCCGCCACACAGCTCCCTCAATCACGAATTCTTCAGGGGGAAGCCTACATCAAGAGAGGCAAGTGGTTCTGCAATGTTGTGTGATGAGAATTTTGCAGGTTGGCCTGAGCCATGGCATTTGCTTTTGGATTCAAACCAAAGGGGTGGACTAGCTGAAAAAATCAGGCTCTGGATGCAAACTTTCCCCACAGTTCAGGGGTGTGGTTAGTTGTGGGTGGGATCAGAATCTTGCCCTCCCAATCTGATTCCTCCCCTCTCCAGACCTGGAGAAGATGGATAAAATGAGACCTGGGTTTGAATTTCAGCTCTGCAAAACAAAACCTGACCAATGAGGCTTTTGCAAAAATCCCAAACCATGTCCCAATTGGTTACCCCAGAGACGGACTGCAGCCTGACCCTCCCATTCCCAAACCTGGGGTTGTAGGCTCCCAGATAAGTTGGGATCTGAACTTGAATTGTTCCTGGTTGTGGTTTTCTAAAACAGGACTGATTTTTTTTTTTTTTTTTTTGCAAACTCCCCTCCTGGGCCTGCCACTGGCTATGAATTTAATCTGAGTGCAGCGGGAGCTCTTTAAAAGTTAAAGGGTTGAGAAAATTGAACCTTGTATTATTAATAAAGTGGATAATGCAGTGTAAATTCCCACATCCCCACTGAGAAAGCCCCTCCGGTGGCCACATCAAGGACCTCGTTCTCAGCTTCTGTTTCAGTCTGAGGCCGTTCCTTATCAAGTGAGTTAGAATCCGCCCTCAAGTGTCCTCTATCCTGCCCCACCCTTGATAGCCCCCCCTTCCACTGGCTCTCAGACTGGATTGCATCTTCTGCAGCCACTCTTCTCCAGGCAGTTGGGCGCTTCCGTTGCCTTGGCAGCCAGCCCGTTTGTCATCATTACAGTGTGGTGGCTGCACGCTTGCATGCCATTCGTCTTGGCAAGAGGCAGAGGCAGCGCAGGGCCGCTGTAATTAGCTCCTGTAGAATTAATTCTCCTCCCGCGTCCTCTTTGTGTTTTGCTGATGTTAGCGTAATGCAGGTTGTGTTGTGAGGGCCCCAGTTCGCACTCAGCGACTTGGCAACGCTGTGAACAGAGCGACCACTACGGAGAGTGTGCATGGTGCGTGGGTGTGTTTGTGTGTGAGATGGAAGGTGTTGGAATCATTCCTGCTGCTCCTTCTTTCAATTTGTGTCATTAAAATAGCCGAGCCTGCCATCCTTAGCTGCTCTCACTAGAGAGAAGTGTGCTGATGACAGCAAAGAAGAGAAGAGAGGGATAATTAATTACCATCCTCTTTATTTATACGTAACTCAGCCTTCTGGGCAGGGCTGAGATCATGGGAAAGTTGAAGGTCTTTAGGGTAGATATTTGGTTTGGTTTTGTGTTTTAGCCCAGCTGATTGGCCGATATGTTAGGAGAATGGGGCTTACCCTGGATTGGGTCCGTTGGTTTGCTCGATGGATGGTCCTGCCCTTTGGTTCAGCTGATGCTGTCTTCTTCTCAATGCACTGCCAGGTTTACTTCGGCTCTGCATCTTTGGGAAATGCTGTGACCCAGAGGTTCGCTTTGCATTGCAACCTGCAACTGGCAAGGGGCAGAGTCTTTAGCCTGCTGGGAAGAAGCCTCCACTGCGGCTTCTTTGCGTTAGTAGCTAGGCTTCAATTCACCGCGCAGCTGCGTAAGCAGCGCCATGAGTGGATTAGAAAACCAGCCTCCCTGCGGAAAGCAGCTGAAACATGGAAACCTGAAATGCCCATGATGCAAAACCCCCCACAAATGGTGAACTCTGTCCCCCAGGAAGAAGGCCAGCCCAAGGACTAGACACCCAGTAAGCCTATGGGCTTCGTGGGATTTCACTGGTGCCTCTGCAGAGGGGAGAATTTCACCTAAGGCCATTTGGCAAAAAAAAACAAAAATAAAAATCAATCTGTGTGCAAGTTCCCCCACCTCTAATGGATACTATGTCTCCTCTCTCCTGGCAAAGGGCTGGGGGAGCATGATCACGTCTGGCAAAGCATAATGCTCATTATATAAAATGCTCTTTTCCACATCCTCCTTGCGTTCAAAGCCCCTTTGTAACCATTGCCAGTTTTCATCCTCCTTTCTGTTTAGAAAATGTCTCTTCTCTGCATCAGGACTCTTTCATTTGACCTGTGCACCTCTTTGAAAGTCTGGCTTCAACTTCCACCCTTTGCCCTGCTTCCTAAGACACGACCTGTGCTTGTTGGCTGCCTTGCAGCAATGCCAATGAGGCTGAACGACAGACGGCAAAGGCTTAAATGAAGGAGAAATACATGGGGTGGAGGGGAAAGAAGATTGATCTACAGGAAGGAAAAATGACTGCTGATGGGACGCAATCCCCACACCTGGAAATGTGAGGGGAAGAGTCCTCACTGAAAACAGGAATGCTCAGCTTTAGTTTTGCAAATTTAATTTTAATGGGATTTAGGCATCCAAAACCATTAGGCGGTTTGAAAATATCAGCCTAAAGGCTGAGAGCAGGTGAGTTTGGATTAAAGGTTCCACTTTGGGTCCATCTCTGCATGCAATGGTTTTAGTAGCCACCTTTGGCTCTCACCACTGTTCCTGCTGCCATCAGCTCACCTTTCGCATTGCCTAGCTGCAGGGAGGTCACTGCGTGTGGCCACAGCTCCTCCTGCAGGGAATGCCACATAGTTCATTTTTTGTTTCCTTTTTCAGGTGTCCTCCCAACACCCCTATGCGGAGGACTTCATAGGGAAGCCTCATGTGTGGACGGTGGACTACAATAACTCAGAGGAGTTTGAAGCCGCTATCAAAACCATCATGAGGACCAAGGTAATTGCTGGCAGAATTCATTGAAACACTGAGATAAGCTCACCTGTTGCTGAGATGGAGAGAACAGAGGGCTGGATTTGCAGAAGTCAAGAACAAGCAGTTGTTAACAGCCCATGTGTCCCTCTGTGACTGTCCCAGCATTAGTGGCTAGTCATCTCTCTGAAATTGTTTGCACATGCAAGCCAGAAATCCCAGTGTCTCAGGACAGGAGGCTACTTCTCTTGGCTTTCAATGGGATTTGTGCTCCTGAGTTGCTTAGGCTCTTTTGAAAACCCCATTCAATGGAGTTACACTAGTGTAACTGAGATCAGAATCAGGCCCAGCAGGTATGGATAGCTTGGGCTCTGTAGTAACTTACCTGGAGCAAACCTCCACACCTCTTGAGTTTCACCCACCAAAGCTTAGCCCTATCTATGGGGACAGATTTCCCAAGAGCTCAATTCCCATGTAGACCTCTAAGTAAGTTGATGGAACAACCTCAGCCGCTGGGCTCTACGCACTTGAAAATCTGGCACGTAGGTTCCTGCATGGAAGCTGAACTCTCTGAAAAATTCTCCAGTAATGTTCCCTGTTCAACTCTCCATCAACATCCCACTCCCCATCAGCCAGCGAGTTAAACCCACTCATTTAACCAGGATGCAATTTTCTCAACCTGCATCCTCCTTCCCAGTGCTGGGATATTCCACAGCAAGCATCTGGAACTGCCAGCCCTGTCTCTTTAAGCAGGTAGTATTTTTTTGTCTGCCCTGTATCTCCCCATGTAAGTGCTGCAAAAGCTACAGGTCACTTTACCTACCGTTCCTCTGCTGCATTGCATTTAATTATTAATTGTTATTATTTGCATTTAACAATTTAATAGGAAAAGCCTCAAATCCCCCCTCTTAAATATGAAGGGCTGAAGAAATTCAGCAAAAAAAAAAAGCCTTTTGAAAAATGCAGCAACTGCTGTGTGAGCCGACTTCTCAAAGACTTTTAAAACGTATCCGTCATGAATATTTACCTCCCCAGTGGCAGGAGCCTTTCAAGTTGTCCAAATTATTAAAGTCAATTTTTCTGGAGGGGAGAAAAGTGCTGATCTCCGTTTTGCTCACAATTTGCTTTGGGTAGGATGAGGTGTCCCTGTTGTTACAAAAACCATACGCCACAAAATAGCATCTTAATAAAAAATGGCCTGCGTGTGACTCAGACTACCAGGAGTCAGGGAATTTGCTAGATTCTTCAAGGGTTCTTTTTTTTTTTTTTTTTTTTTTTTTTTTTTTTTTTTTTTTTTTTTTTTGAGTGAATTTGTAGTGTTCATGTCAGATTGAGAGCAGCAGAGATCCAAGTCCTCCATCCAGAGAGCAAGCTGCGCTGCGGTGTAGAGTTCCCCTGCCAATATTCCTCAGCCCAGATCTGTTCAGTTTCTTTGGCCCATTCCGCCTTGCTTCCTCTGTGAAGCTGCTATCAATCAGGCTGATCCACACCATCACGGGGAGTATTGTGAGCCCCTCCCCACTTCTCCCATCACAGCCATCAGATGGCAACAGTCTTTAATTGTTACTCAGCAGGAGTTGCAATTGATCTGGGGACTGGTTCTGTAGTGCATAGCCATCTCCATAGCCACGTCCATTCCCCCAGGGGAAATCGCTCACTAGAAAGTGAATTACCAGATTAAAAAATATCCCTAAATCTCAAACTGTTTAAATTCCTAATTCAGTAACACTCCTTGGGTGTAAAAACAACGAGGAGTCCTTGTGGCATCTTAGAGACTAACAAATTTATTTGGGCATAAGCTTTCATGGGCTAAAACCCACTTCATCAGATGCATGGAGTGGAAAATACAGTAGGCAGGGATAAATATACAGCACATGAAAAGATGGGAGTTGCCTTACCAAGTAGGGGGTCAGTGCTAACGAGCCAATTCAATTAAGGTGGAAGTGGGCTATTCTTGACAAGAAGAGGTGAATACCAAGGGAGGGGAAAAAATCACTTTTGTAGTGCTAACGAGGCCAATGTAATCAAGGTGGCCCATTTCAAACAGTTGACAAGAAGGTGTGAGTATCAGCACGGGGAAATTAGTTTTTGTAGTGACCCATCCACTCCCAGTCTTTATTCAGGTCTAATTTGATGGTGTCCAGTTTGCAAATTAATTCCAGTTCCGAAGTTTCTCTTTGGAGTTCCATCAAATTAGGCCTGAATAAAGATTGGGAGCGGAGGGTCACTAAAGAAGAGGGCATAGATCAATCAAGAAGGACCTTTGTGATTTTGCTGATGCTCAATGGCATGTTGTTTTTACTGTGTGAGGAAAGACTGAACAAGGGATAGCAAAAATGAGATGGGCATGGAGAGAAAGAGAGAAGATCGTGTGCCATCTAAAGTAGCCAGTAGGAAATGCCACTGGGGCTTGTCTCTAAGTATTGGGGAAGGGCCTGGGTCTGGCTTCTCTAGGGAATAGAAACGAATCTTTTGTTGTGGCTCTAGATGATAGAACATCTAACAGACTGATGTTCCAGTGCCCCTGGGAACTTGATAAACCATCTGCTTGCCAAACAGCAGCACCAGGCACTGCCATGTATTCGGTGCTCTTCCTTGAAGGATAGCACTCCCAAGTGGCATTTCTTTGAAAGGCAGCAGAGCACCAGAGCTGACAACCGGCTGACTCTGTGACACTATTAGCGCTCATACCCGAGCTCTCCCCGTATGACAGCAGTTTGTTAGGTGTGGGATCTTTGGTGTCTGTTACGGGCACTTGCAACTGTAGTTTGTTTTGATCTCGTCTCATCTCTCCTCCTCCAAAATATTGCAAAGAATGTAACCATATACAATTATTTGTCATTAGGTGCATCTCAATTAAAATTAAATTTTCAATAATTATGTCCCTGCCGCTGGGCTTCCTGTCAGCTGTCGACAAAAACTGAAGTGAGCGGCGTTGACCGACTCTGTTCCATCTGCGCTGGTGAAATGTTCCCGGAGAGAGAGAGTCTCAGCTGCCGAGCTGGTGTTTAAAGGGCACATGCGTCAGATCCTTTGCATGTTACATGATGGATTAATGGAGGTCACGTCTTTCCATCAGCTGTGTAAAATCAGCAAAAAACTACGGGTGTCCAAAAAAAAAAAAAAGTAATCAGATCTCACCCAGCAATGCCAGGGGCTCCACCTCTCTCCAGAACTAAAACGGGACAATGTCTATTCTCCCCTTTTTGGGCCCACTCAACCAGCTGCCAGAGGGGGTGAGTGCATTAACCTTTCACCTTTTGAAACATGGATTCTCTGGTGCCCAGCACCGTGTGCAGTTATTTACTCCAGTGCCTGGTGGGTGTAAAATGCTGCCATCCTGATTGGGCACCTATTTTGCACTGGAGTAAATGACGACACAAGTCGCAGGACAACACAGAATCAGGCCCATGGATGCCAATCACCAGTAAAGTCACAACTAGCACTGAGTTTATTAGTCTTTCATCCTAGTGTGTATTACAGAGCTGCTGCCTGTTCTGGCCTCAGTTTCTGCTTGAGGGAAGCTCAAGACCAGGATAGGTCCATGGTGCCATGGCTCAGGATTCACATGGAGTGGCAGAGCTGTGTGGGACCCAAGACTTGACTAGCAGATGGTGCTGCAGGGGAGGGATTCAGATATTGGCAGAGAGGCACATGGCCTCAGATTGGAATAGCAGTTGGTGCTGCAGGTCAGGACTTGAGTCCGTTGGCAGAACTGTTTGAAGAAAGTGTAAACTAGTGCTCTTCGCCTCTCACCTTAATGAGTATTAAACTGACTCCCAGCTCTGCAAGGGAGAACAAAGAAGAAAGACAAAAGCCTTGTGCTGCTCACACAACACAATCTCTTCAAACAGATGAATACGTTACACCGCTACCTCGATATAACGCGACCCGATTTAAGACGAATTCGGATATAACGCGGTAAAGCAGTGCTCCGGGGGTGGGGGGGCTGCACACTCCGGTGGATCAAAGCAAGTTCAATGTAACGTGGTTTCACCTATAACATGGTAAGATTTTTTGGCTCCCGAGGACAGCATTATATCGAGGTAGAGGTGTACTTGTCTTTGCTTCAAAGCCAGGCCCACTTCTCCTCTCATTTAGACCGCTGTAAATCTGAAGGAACTTCAGTGAAGTCAGCAGAGTGACTCTGGATTGCCATTGGTGTAAATGAAAATGGGATTTGGTCCGGTAGCAGGTGACTGTGGGAGAAGTTTTGGGTGCACAAAGGTTCCTCATAAAAGGCTTTTGCTGGGCTCATTGGAATCCCGACACACATGCACACACATTCATTTAAGATAAAGATTCTGGGCAACATTTTCAGAAGTACCTAAGAGACTTAGGAGTCTAAGGCCCATTTTCAAATGTGGGTTAGGCACTTAGGAGCCTACGTCTCACTGGAAGCCAATGGGATTTAGGCTCCTGAATTCCTAAGGATACTTCTACCCTGCAAAAATACCCTTGCGACAGCAAGTCTCACAGCCTGGATCAACTGACACGAGCTCGTGGGGCTCGCATTACAGGGCTACAAATATCAGTGTAGAGCAGAGGTAGTCAATTATTTTTTAAGGTCCAAATTTCTTGGTCAAGGTATAGTCAAGATCCAGACTCCAGGGAAAATAATAATAAAAACAATGATAATAATAAGTAAATATAAAGATTTCGGGGTCTGTTCAAAAGTGTCTGCTGATCCGGATTTGGCCCACAGTCCACCTATTGACTACCCCTGGTGTAGTTGTTCCTGCTCAGGCTGGAGCTTGGGCTCTGAGGCCACCCCTGTCACTGGAGTGAGGCACATTGGCAAGGCATTATGGGTAAGCTTGGTCCTGACATGACTTGACCCGAATCTGTTCCGTTGAGAGAGACCTTCAGGGCTATCAGGGTGCTATCAGTCTTTCACCAGCACTGAGGGTCTGATCCAGAGCTCATTGCAAGACTCCCGCTGCCCTCGGTGAGTGTTGAATTGAACTGAATTTGCTTTAAAAGAGTAAAAACTACAGCTCAGCTGTCACAATTTTATTAAGAACGTGCCATGACTCTGGAAGAGACTTCTT